ACAACATAAGGCTATGAATGTTGAACCTAAAAGCATCGCTGTTTCCTCATGAACGAAGTGGTGCTCCTTCATACTTCCCATCTGTGTGCCCTTTCCGTAGGCCCAGCCTCTCCCAGGGCCTTTTATATCCCATCCAGGTTGTCAGCTGTAGATTGGTGCCACCCATGCCCAAAGTAGGCATCTATTTTCACACCAGAACTTGTTAGGTTTTTGTGGTTTGATTTGGTTTGGTACAGGGATCAAACTCAGGACCTTGTACTTTCCAGCAGGCATTTATGCTGCTGACCTATCTCCCCTACTTTTATTGGCAGTGCAGCAGAGAAGCAGAAATAAAAGAAGTGGAGACAGAAAGACTTGATTAACTCTGAAGACTCATAGAGGATTAATGGCAGGGAGACGGATGGCTCCTCCGACCCACGACAGTGGAAGGCTGAGGTTTCATGGACTTCCTCTAGGGGCGGAGTCTGAGGGGCAGGTTTAGTGACACCTAGGAGCTGATTGGGGTCTTCCTGTGTGGGAAAAGTGAAAGAAAACTGTATTCAGGACTGGGGTGAGGGTGAAGGAGGAGGTGGTCTCTGGGAAGATAAATTTATTTTTGGAATTCAACCATGTTGGATGTTGGATGACCACCATAATTCACCAATTCATACTCGGGCTGGAACCTATCATTCCCACCTTTTAGTTATGAAGAAGCGATGGCTTTCTTAGACTTCTAAAGCTCCCAAGTGCTCAGATTACAGGCATGGCATCACCAAGCCCGGTGGGTTTCTATAGTTTTCTGAATTGACCCTTTCATTATTATGAAAGGTCTTTATCTCTGGTGAGAATCATTGTCATGCTTCATTTTCTTCAGTGGTGTCCATTGCCTGGTGACCCACTCTCTGAAGACTCTGAAGTTGTTATGAAGAAGCAATGGCTTTCTTAGACTGCTTCCTGCTGAATGGGGGTGTTGTTTAGGGGGCAGGGAGGAATGACAGGATGAATTGGTGCCCATGTAGAAGCTGGTGCCAGGTGTCTCACCCAGGATGAGAAGTTCATTGTTAGTGAAGGCTCACATCCGAGACTGAAGAAACCTTGAAAAGAGTTTAAGAAGGCAGAGTGCTATGCGAAGGTCATTATCATGATTAAAGGAGCCAGAAGGGGAAGCAGAAGGGGGCCCAAGATTCAAATGTATCATTCAACAATGACCATGGTGAAGGGGAAGAGTATTGATTTCCTACTTCTTGGCATTTGCGCTCTAGCCAACACGAGCTGAACTAGGCTTGGGAAAGTGGGTGCCCTGGGAGGTGCCCTGAGTCTAGTCCGAGCTAAGGGAAGGCGTTGAGGCCAACGCAAGTGCAGCTTGAGGATGTTTGATAAAGTGGGGCTTTAGAAGCGCATTTGCACCTATTACTCTAGATCCACTGACTGTAGCATATCTTGCACTTTTGTGTCTGTGTTTGTTGAGCTACCACCTATGAACCATGCATCAGAATAGGTATAACCACATTATTGATGACCTTGAGTTCTTGAACTAGACAACAGGAGCCTTTAGATTTGAGTAGAAGAAAAAAGTATGGTACAGCGAGGAGGGACTGGAAGTGTCCCAGAGTATGTGGTCAACAAGGGAAGAGGGAGGGACAAGCTGACTGTGCATGAGGTTGAATATGTAGGACAAACACTGTGGAGAGAGAGGTGAAAGAGAAGTGAAGCCTTTGGAAGAGATCTCTTCCTATCAGAGATCTGGGACAGGTTTGGATCACAAGGAAATTATGAGTGAAAAACAGAAGGGAATTGGCCCTGTCTGAAGGGGTCATGTAGGTTGGCCATCAACTCCCATTATAGAGACTGTAGATCTAATACAGTGACCTGAAAACTCAGAACACTATATGAGGCCCTCGTGCCAACAGAAGAGTGTCCTACCTGAGTCGCCAGTGAGACTCGGGGCGCTGACAATGACACCTCGATGAGGGCCGTGGACCCTGAGCCCCATTCTTCCTCTTCAGGGGCAAGACCAAGCAGGTCAGCCATTGATAGACCTGGCTACAGCAAATGCTCCTGGGAAGGTAGGGAATTTGATGACTTGCCCCCTCTAGTGGACAGGGCAGTCGCATT